ATTTTAATACCATTTTTTTTGTCGCATACCAATATACCAAATTTCAGCAAAATCGCATATGCCGTTTAAAATTTATATGGGAAAAACGATTTAAAAATTGTAATTTCAAGGCCCTCTGGAGCCCAAACGAAGCAACTTTGTACTAAGGTATTTTTACTTAAATCGACTTATTTTGGTCTAAGGAATATGTGGTATGTTTTTGTAAAGACCTTTTACAGACACCCTGTATATTTCATAAATGGAGTTAAAATAAAATTTAATTGCTTAAAGGCCTCGTTGCTAAACATTCTTTTAAAAATCATTCATTTTGTAATTAATTGAATATATATAATTACTAATTAAAACACAGCGCTTTTAATACACTAAAATATATTAATTCCCAGTTAATGAAAATATGTATACATATTAATAGCTTTGATATGCTAAGGTTATTAGGTATTTTAGTAATTCTTACACGAATGCAAGTAGATTTTTCGATTTAGATAATAGTTAGAATATTGACTTACGGTTTTTTTTTAATTTTAATTCGTAAATAAATCAAATTCAAATAACAGGAGCAACTTTATACGTGTTAATTGTTTAAGACTTCACACACGAGTGTACAAATTATGGTCCTGTCTTTTATTTATTTATATTGGCTAGATTTTTCCTATTCGTTTTTAGGTTTTTGACACGTATGCACTCTTACTGAGGTTATCTGCATTTGACTTTCCTGTCTCTGGTCGGCGTTAAACGGCTGCTAGGGATACTCTCTGTCATGTAAATCTTGTACCTATTGATACTTGTGTATATGTAAATGATTTGTAGTTAACAGCTTCGCAACTTCCCATTTCAGGCGTCTGTTAATTAACATATAAGACGACGTTTCTTGTTCGTAACGCAGACCTGAATACAAATGGAAATTGATAAAGGGAGTCGATAATTCATCGTTGTTAGAGAATCCCGTATGGATTTGGTTCGTTTCATTTTATTTGTCGTTCCTTTATTTAAATTCAACAGTACCTACTAAAAGTTTGTAGAAACAAAATGTAACCAAAACGTGTTTTGTATTTTTTTTTGAATATTTATAAATTCCTTAGATGATTTACAAAAATATATAGATTTTCTCTTGCTCAAAGCTTTATACCTAAATACGGGTGATCAACTTATACTCCGGAGTTTGATATCTCCACTTTTTAAAATTATTTCGTAATATACAGGGTGTTTCATAAAGTCACCAAAACTTACCAAAGTTATATTGTGAAAGTCCTAATGAAATCGTCACTCTGTATTGTTTAGAATCAACAATTGAGAATCAAAATCTCAAGGACAGAATAATTTCGTAGTAGTCTTGTTTTGTTGCAACTCATCATGTTTTTCATATCTTTTATTTTATATACAGGGTAAACCCAGAAAACACGACCATGATTTTCTCGGTTATTTTAATCGGAACACCCCGTATCTTATATTATTTTCATATGTTACTCACAAAATGCTTTTATATAGAAAGGAGGTACTAGATGTAACAATAGCATCAAACATACTTGAGTAATGTTGTTACAGTCATTATTAACCTTTACTTCAAATACCTATGTACATTAAATAAATTAAAAATAATTTTAAAATAAAAAAACAGGCTTTATGCTAAAATTAAAGGCCGAAAAAAGGTTAAATAATGAAAATAAAAAAATTTAAATATTTATATAAAACATTTTTAGTCACCATTGTATCGATTTTAAGATCCAATATATTTTCCATTACCTACCCATATTTGGAGATTTTATTTTACATATTTCATCGGAAAAATGTGAATACAAAGTCGTTTGGAAAAAGGAAAAGAAGGAGCGTTTTCTTGAGATTAAACCAAGCGGAAATAATCATTTTTTCTTGTCAATCAATCACAAGTTCTCATAGAAAATAAGAATGTGATGTATAACATTGAAAAGCGGAGGAGACATCATATAGATATCATTATATTTGTTCAGATATTGAACGAGATGTGAAATATGGGACTCAGATGTAAAAAAAACTCAATCAAAAGGGTCAAGGCAAATGTCTATGAAGAACCCGCATTCATCTATCATGTAAAACTAATATTTTTGCGAATGTTATTAAGAAAATTTTTACCTTAGGAATAGATAGTAAGATGGACAACGCTGGCTGGTTGGAAGTATAAAATTCGGTAAAGATGAGATGCAAAAGGAATTTTGAAATTTAGCTATATACAGTAATAATGATAACACACTTATTGTCCACACATAAAGTACAGTGTATACAATTAAAAATATATAAAAAAATAAGTAGATAGTTGGCTCGAATTGGTTCAGATGCGGTTATTCTCCACCCCTGGTCTTCCACCAATGCCAACATAATATAAAAAAATGCTATTTGAGATGGCTTTCTAAAATTATAAAAAATGTTTAAAAAAAAAAGGAAAAAGAAAAGGATGAAGAAAAGGAGAAAGAGAAATAAAAGAATAAAGAAAGAAAATAAGAAAAGAAGAAAGACTAGAAATTAAAAGTAATTATTGTGTTTGTAGCAGTATATTTTTATAGCGGCATTTAAAGGTATCTGCTTTCAAATGTAATAATGTTGGATCAATTCAACAGGTTATTGATATAGACTGTGACATTGTAGATAAAAAACTTTTAAAACTAGTTTCGAAAAATCTTGGCAATCTAAGTATGGATTTAAAACGAATATTTAGGTTATAAATATCGGTTCTAAATCTTAGTTTTTCATGCAAGTATGGCGGTGACCTCATATTAAGCCGGCGTTGGTACGGTGGGGTATGATATTCCCCAGTCTAAATAATAATGTCACCGCTTCCATTTTAATAAATTCAGAGGCGCCATCTGCAGTGTACCTTTAAACTAAATAGGTGGCTGTAGCATGTTAGGCTTGTTTCGCTGCTCATACACAATTAGGCATTCCAAACAAATGAATTACCAGTGGGAAGGTTTGGTGGCGACATATGGTGTATTCTATCTACTTTACGTAAAATCATGAATAATGGATTACATTTAAATATTTTATGTCAAACACAATAAAAATAATATTTATAAAACCCATCTATACATTTCTTCATAAATTGGCAGGCTTGGCGAGTACTACTTCGAATAAAAATAGCGTCCAAGTTGCAAGACTATGTCGCTACCCCCTTAAATATACAAGAATTTTCCACTGGCACCTATTGTTTGACAGGTCGTTGGAATGCCTAATATATCTCCTATAGTAGTGCATCTCACTTGTTAAAGAGTTGGTACTAAGTTTGCAGCGCAAAAATGCGTATGTGTCTGGCCGCTCAACTAACTCAATATGGCGGCAAATTCAAATATAATTTTAAGGCGAAATTTAAATTTCCCGCCAAAATCGTAAATTTTCAGCCGCGGAATGGCGGGAATTTTGAAATATATTCATTCGGCAATAATAATTGAGAAGTATATTGCATGTTCCATTAAACGAGCTGTAAATCCAAGCGCTATATTTATTTTGATAGCTAAAAATAAATACTAATTCTTTTATTGTTAGCTATTACAATAAGAGCAGCATTTGGATTAACAACACATTTAAAAGAGCATGTAATATACTTTTCGATTTTATCTAAATCACTTATTTTTTACCTATAAAGGTTAGATCTGAAAAAAAATTGGCTCTGGTAAAAAAAAAACAAAAAATTGTATAAAGTATTTTATTTGAAAAATTATAAAACCTATTTAATTTATTTTAGAGTCGAGGATAACTCTAGCCATATCCATTTTACTGAAAAAAAAAAAGAAACTATTAAATGAAATCATTTAGTTATTAAGATATGTTTGTGATAATACAATGACAGCTATCCAATGTTGTACAATACGTTTTGCTAATATCCAAGTAAAAACTACAATGAATTAGCATTAGTAGGAGAAGGAATAGAATACTATGAACGTAGCCAGCCGGCTACGTGGGGATGCATAGCACCGTGTGCCTGTTCATATTACACATTACACAAGGTAACATTCATATTATTCGTTTCCTGATCGCACTAATGCTAACTCTTTAGTTTTCTCTTCGATGCTAGCTAAGCGTATTGGAAAGAGTTCATTAGCTAATACTGTATATAAATGCTAAAATCAATGAGAGAAATAAAATTTTTTAGTTTAAATGGACACCTACTTCGAAAAAGAAGAAAAACTGAAACAGTAAATTATTATACTTGAATTTTAAAGGTTGTTGCCACTGGAAAACTATTATCTAGGGCTTGGATGACAGCCATAGGACTCTGTCCTTGAATCGTGTCCATAGGAAATCATAAGATCTTAGTTAAATTATAATATTAAGAGGGTAGGTATTAACAGAAAAAATATGAAAAATTGTTACAAACTTACCTCAAAATTGGCACCTACATTAAAAGAAGGATAAAAGGAAACATTAAATTGTTATACTTAAATTTTAAAGGCTTTTCCCAGTGGAAAAATATTATCTAGGGCGGAGACCCTTGGATGACAGCCATAGCAATCCCTCCTTGAATCCTCTTTTTCTGAGTTTGTTGTACGTTTTGCTTTCAATAATAAATAAGCAAGCACTTAATACAACACAATAAATATCGCCGAAACATAATTAATAGTAATAAACGGTATAAATTTCGTAGAAGAAAAAATCAAAAAATTATCACTTGTCAATACTGACACTTCATGCTTCGCTTGTCAAAAACTTCCTCTTCAACCAATGAACGTGCCAATGTTGGACGTGTAAAAAATTCAAAACGATACTAGCGCCATGAGACCTGTGTCTGGCCGCAGCGTAACTCAAAGCCATTTCTTGAATCCCAGTAACATTACTATAGGGGATATATTGTGCCTCAGTATGCGTCCGGCATTCGTAGAGGTGTGTAAAGTGTTGTAGTGTATCTCATACCCCAGTGTACTAGTCTGGTTATAATTTTATGCCAAGGTGAAAAAGTTAAATTTCTTCAATTCGTAAGGTTTAGTATACTAAAAATAGTGACAAAGAAAACTTAAGTAATTATTTTTAATTAAACAATGTATTACGAAGACGAACAAAGAAGACTTTTGAAGCTTTGGGAAGAAGTAAACGATGAAGAATCAGACATTGGCTCGATATCTGATGATGAACCACCGGATCACATAAGTGAGAATTCCTACCACTCAAACTCGGAAGAGAAGCTTCCAGAAATACGTATTCTAGTTGATAGCCAAAACAATGAACGCCCAGAAGTCTCTGAGACTGAAGAACTGGTCGATGATCACGCAGTTGAACAAACAACAAGGAGAGCTCAGTATTTATGGGGTATTGATAAAAAGACTAAATGAATGAAAATCCAGGTAACTCAGCAATTCGTACTAGAAGAGAAAATATAATAACTCACTTGCCTGGCCCTAAACTAATTGCGCAAAATGTAAAAACACCATTAGATTGTTGGAAGCTATTTATTGATGATCTCATTCTAGATTCTATTGTCGAATCCACTAACGAAAAAATCGTCAGAAACACTGATAAACATATGGTGAGAAAAACTTTCCTGACAGAAATCACCGCTTTCGTTCAGCAAGACAAAACTTGGTGGATCTATGGGCTTCCGATGAAACAGGCATTGACATTTTCAGATGTACTATGCCATTAAAAAGATTTCATTTTTTTATTAGCCTGTCTTAGATTTGACAAAGAAGACACTAGGGAAGAAAGATGCCATATTGATAAAATGCTGCCAATACGAGCAGTTTTTAATCACTTCGTTGAAAATTGTCAAAATTCTTACCCACCGTATGAATATCTAATTCTGGCTGAAAAGTTGGAATCTTTTAGAGGCCGCTGTGGGTTTCGCCAATATATACCCAATAAGCCGGCAAAATAAGACCTAAAAATTTTTGCAGTGGTGGATGTAAAAACATTTTACGTGTTTAATTAAGAGGTTTATGTGGGTAAACAGCCTGAAGGGCCATTTCGACAAAGTAACAAACCGGAAGATATAATTCTGCGACTTGTGGAGCCACTTAAAAATTCTCGGAAGAATTTTACGTTTGACAATTGGTTTTCTAGCTATCCTTTGGTTACAAAACTATTTTAAAATATGGCCTAACTTCTGTAGAAACGCTACGAAAAAATAAGCGTGAAATACCCTCTGAACTACTTAATACGAAGACTAGAGAAGAAAGGAGCTGCAAATTTGCGTTTCAAATAGATGTAAGTGTAGACTTAGCTTTATAGAGCTTGACGTATACTACCTTCGATCATGGTGGACTGTATTCAGATTAGATTACCTGGGGTGGAGGCCTTATGATCCACCCTGTAGCCTCTGGGAGATATTCTTGAAGTTCTAGTTAAAGCACTAGGTGTATTAAAATAAAACAATCACCCTACATTTGAATTTGATATATTAACTGCTTGATACGTTCACATTTAACACATTTACAACTTTTTGTTACATAGAAGTATTGAAAAGTTACATATTAACTTTTTATGAAATCAAATCGCACAGGCTTGGAATGGTTACCGCGAATGCCGGCTTTTAAGGTTAAAGTTTTTGCAACTTGTTTCTTGTTCGACTGAAAAAGCGAAAGTCATTTTAGTTTGTTCTGCCGTTGCTTATCAACCCGCACCGTCTTTTTTTCTTTCTTCTAATTGGCTCTCTTTAATCGTATGTTTTTGCACACGACACCATTGTTTTTAATATCTCTCTTATGATTGGGTAAAAAATCTCGCGTGACTAACTTTAACTGTATTAGAGGCAGCAGGTGTCTTTGAAGGTTACTTGAAAGTTAAAAGGGTGGTAATAACAACTTTGGATAATTTATTTATACAGGGAGTGTCTATTTAGTATTTCATTCTTTTTTATTTGTTAAATACGGAAGTTTATACAGGGAGAATATATTTAGTATTTTATTCTTTTTTGTTTGCTAAATGCTATTTAGATTAATCTTCCCTGCAGATAGAACATGTTGAATGTAATTTCAACAGTGAGTTTAGTCTCATATGTACGCAAAACAGGAAAAAATGTTGTTGTTATCTCCACTTTACATCACATACAATTGATAAATCGTCAGGGGATTTACGAAAACCGGAATATATTATGTTTTATAATAGTACCAAGGCTGACGTTGATGTTGTTGACGAGCTGTCAGGCACTTACAGCGTTTCACGGAACAGCAGAAGGTGATCTTTGACTCTTATCTTTTCAATTATGAATTCAGCGAGAATAAATACGATGGTAATTTACAATAGCAATAATATCGACTCAAAATTACCAAGAAGGAAATTTTTAAAAAGTTTGGGCCTCAATTTGGTGAAATCTCAACAGGAGAAGAAATTACAGAATCCTCTCATTCAGAGAGACCTTCGTAGAAACATTTCAGAAGCTGGTGTAAGTGATAATCAACCTGATCAAGAACAAAGAGGGGAAACAAGTGTAAAAAGACAGAGATTTTCGTGACAATATGTTGGGTGCCCAAGAAAATTAGATAGAAAAACTTTTTATAACTGTAGGTCTTGCAATAGGTTCATTTGTTTGAGTCATGCTAATTTTACTTGCGATGAATGTTCATTTGTAAGTTTTTGGCTATTTCACTTTTAGTTTTTGTATTTTCAATGTTTTTTTCGTTACAAAAATATTTATTTTTAAGTTGAAAATATGTACGATTACTTTTTAATAAAAATTAAAAAAAGCTGTTTTAAAAGACAAAAATACATTTTACTTTTAAAAAATATTTTTTTTTATTAATTTTAATGGATATTTCCGATGAGTTATTGACAAATTTTTAAAATCTTCTAATAATATTCCATTTTTTTAAATTTTTTTCTAAAAAAAATAAATAACTCCTGTAGGGTCTGTGAGACTCCAGTGTACTATCAAATAATTTTTGACTGAGACCAGCAAAATTAAAATTTATATTCAAGAGGAACCCAGTTATTCATCTCTCGTCCAAGCTTTGGAGACAAGATATGGCCAGCAGCATTTGCAAAAAGTATTCCAAAGCCAGCTAAAGGTTCGTAGTCAGAAACATAATGAGAATCTACATGAATTCGAGGCTGATATAAGAAAGTTGATTCATCTGGCCTATCCACAGGTGCCGAAAGATTTCCAAGAACAACTCGGAATACAAGCATTCATTGATGGACTACAAGATGTGGAAATGCAGCAAGCCCTTCGCCTACAACATCACAAGACGCTGAGGGAGAAACTGATTGCATCCCAGGAATATGAAGCGGTAAAACTTGTATCCAGATCTTCTCGCGCAAAAGTGAGGAAAATGAAATCCCAGAAAAGTGACGAGGCCAATAATAATGCTATTCCCCAAATCTTAAATATTCTACGAGATGTACAACAAAACAGCCAAAATGGAAGCAGAAGATGCTTCAATTGCGGAAGAGTCGGACACTTCCAAAGAACCTGTAGAAGCATGGCCCATTCTATAAATCGAGAATCTGCGAATGAGACCGGAAAATCATATAGATCAATCTTTTCAAGCCCATCACTAAGACCAACAAGAATTAATTATAGCAGCTATGCGTTCCGAAGAAGCCAATCACCCACACCGAGCCGGCTTTCTAACAATAACCAGAAAGTAGAGCATGGAGGAGGTCTTCATAGCAATGCAGACATTCTCTTCGGGCAACTCCGTTTAGAGGAACAATGCTGGTATGGTAAAAGGCTCGAAGAACGAGAAGAAGTTACTCTTCGGGCCACCACTATCAAGCTGGAGGGCGACGAAGAAGAAATCACCCTTGAAAGTCTGAGACAGGGACAGAAGAAAGACAAGGACTTAAAGGTTGTCCGAGAATGGCTCAAAAATAAAGTCACACCTACTTGGCAAGAGATAGCCAAATACAGTAGAACTATAAAAGGCTACTGGACCCAGTGGGATTCCCTGTATCTTCACGATGGCCTATTGAACCGGAAGTGGGAGAGCCCCAATGGAGTACATGTAGTCCGCCAAGTGATACTGCCGAGGTCACAGGTAAGAAAAGTATTGGAGGAGCTTCATAGCAGCCGTTCAGGAGGACACTTTGATACTAAAAGAACACTTGCACGAGTTCGGGAAAGATTTTATTGGGTCAATTGCCGACGGGATGTAGTGGATTGCTGTAAAACATGTGATTTATGCAATGGCAGAACAAAGGTCTATGGATTCGCTCGGGAACGACTGAAAGCCCACACTGATAAAGCAAAAGCTAGAATCGATAGGCGTGCCACAGACACACATTTTGAGAGGGGCGACAAGGTATAGCTGTGCAATCCCAAGAAGCGGGGAGGACTTCGTCAGAAATCGCAGCGGAACTGGAAAGGCCCCTACTCCGTCCTTAAGGAAAATCAACGACCTGGTCTGCCGCATTCAACTGTCAGCGGGAAATAAATTCAACGTAGTTCACATTGGGAAGATAGCTCCATTCCATGGTCCAGATCTTCTCCATTAGTTTCAACTAGGTCCCAGTAGTCAAGTTATTCGGGGCGAATAACTAGAGAGGAGGGAGCAATGTTACGCAGCACCCTGCGGCTATTATAGGAAACGTACAGATAGAAAAAGAAATGGAATGTAACTCATCTCCCTACAGTGTGCTGCGGTCGTCATAAGTAAAAGTACAAGTAAAAGAAGATAGAATAGTCCAGAAATATCATTACCTGTCAAGAATATTCTAGACGTCAGTTCGCGAAGGTTCGAGAAAGGTCAAGCAAGCTATTTAAGGATGATCCTGACGTCAGTTTTCAGTTTTATAATAGACGTTACATGTTAATGTTATCAGTTGTATATTTGTTGTTAAAGTTGAGTTGAAATAAATTGCGATACCAAAAACCAACGTAACGATAGTAATTAATCTTAAATCACTGTAATCTTCAGGCAAAGTTTCTTTAGCGAATTTCCATGATTCAGGAAAATACCTATGTATTAAGCATCAATTAATAATGTGCGTAATAATGAGTAAAAGTGTAAAATGGTAATATTAGTTATTAATTTGTAGAGCTTGATTTTTAATTATTATATTATGTTAATATCGCTTTTCATTTTTGATTTATGAGTTTTAAATTTTAACCCCCCTTAAACCCCCCATTCTTGATCATAGGTATTTTTATTTTTATAGAGCATCTTTATTGCTAAAAATTTTAAGTTAGTATCATTTTTTGTTACTGATTTTTTTCAATATTTCAACCCCCTTGTCACCCCATCTATATTCAGATTTTTTTGTAGAATCAATAGGCTAAATTCCCTTATAGAGCTTTATTTTTTACTCTAAATTTTATATT